CTCGTGATAACATTATGAATTGCGCATTACGCATGTGATATTAGAAGACTCTTTACTTTAAATAATCCGTAATAATCTGTAAAAACTTTCGTTACGTTACGAGCTATCCATCTAAAAGATATCTAGCAATACTAAAAAGAAAGGATAAATAATATTAGGGAATCGCAATTATAAGAAGACATGGTAGATAAGTAATATGTTGCATACATTAATTCAGATTTGTATAAATATAGCACAGTAGATGAATACATGATTCTATTCTGTTAGTATTAAATGAAAAAGCCCTATATATATATATATATGTATATAGGAAAAAAAATCTGTTGTGCCTTCAACACAAAAACACACTGTTTATTTGGTGCAATTTTTAACAGCAAATATTTTATTTATATAACAAAAGAATTAATGTTTGTCTAGCTGCCTCCCTCCCATTTAATTAAATCTTAATAAATAAATTATAAATAATGCGTTATTTACTTGTACTTTCAAAATCCGCAAAAAAAGAAATTTTTGGAGACTGAGTAGGCTGTTAGCCCCCCACGTGTTAATAACAACCAATTTGGAAAATCAAATACACATTTATGCGCTATTTATGCGCTTTCACATAGTTTCAATTTTTGTGCTGCATCTCTTAAGGCACTTTCTTAGAGCAAACAGTCATATTCCCTAAGTTGTTTAAAATTGCAAAATTACGCTATTTAACTATGCAAAATATATCTTCAATTTATGCGCTATCAAGCAATTCACATTTTTTCACTGCGTAATTCTGTATAATTGATTTTCCAAATCAGTTATTATTAATATATAGGGAACTGACTGATAGCCTACTCAGCCCCCCTCCCACGAAAAAATTTTTTAGCTAACTGAAATAAACGCAAAAATTATTTTTGCGAATTTTGAAAGCGCATAAATAGTCCATTATTATATAATTTATTCATTAAGATTTAATTAAGTACGGGGGAGGATCAGCTTTTGCAATATTATTTTTCTGTTTCGTAAATAATAAAAATATTTGTTTATATCAAACAATTTAGTTTATATAAAATTACAGATTTGTTCAGTATATTTTAACAACAGTTTTTTTCAATATATTTCAATCAAATTTTTGTTGTTACAACAAAATTTTGGTTTATGAAACAAAATTTTTTTATTGTTAATGTCATATGATAACTAATTTTTATTTTAATACATACAATGTACATAATATCTAAAATTAATATCTAAATTAATATCTAATTTAATATCAATTATTATCTAAAAGTGCTTCTGATATTTTTAAGTGCAATAAAATATATTATGCAGCATATAACAACAAATGGTACACTCTAAATTCAGAAACTATAGAAGATTTGTTACTCTTAATGACAAGAGGTTCTAAATCGATCTATCTCACCGCTGGAAAACTGTCTCCTGTTACAATGACTACATTTTGCAGTGTAAGTTTGATTTTGTTTTGAATATTAAGATATTGATATCACTAAAATTTTGTTAAAAATTATTATAGAATCTGTACTACATTTTAATATGTAAAATTTAATTTTTTTATTTTGATCTATTTATGTACAATTATAATAGTACAATATGTATAATTACGGTAAATCAAAGTTTATATTATTAACTATATAATCATTAAAAAATATATTTTTCAGTTTATGAGAACATCCATTGGATATATATCCGTCTTGCACACAATAAAAAGTTGATAAAAAAAATAAGAAGAATGTAAAATTTTTCCGATGTGCAATTTTTAATAGAATATTATAACTTATAAAGCTTGAAAATAAATAAATCTTATTGCTTTATTTGTGAGACATGACGTGTATTAAGCAGTAACAGAAAAATTAAAAATTTAATTTGAATTTAAAAATACTGTTACAGATCAATAGTTCCATGAATTTTAAAATTAAAACATCCAGTTAAAGCATTAATTTTATTTTAGCACTGATTTTATGCAATATTATATAATATAGATTAATATTAATAATAGTTTGGAATGAATTATTACATAAAATTAACTTATTTTAAAAGCAATTCATATAAATAAAAATTATATCAAACTAAAATCCTTTAGTTTTTATAACTTATGTTTTGACCAGTTTTATTCCATATGGAGGACTCTATATGGAGGCATTTGTTGAAATCGCCTCTATTTAATAAAATAAAATAATTTTTTTTATATAAAAATTGTATTAAAACTATAATTTTATATCAAAAAATTCTGTTTATTTTAAATCTAAGATTTTTAATATGTTATAGATATAATATTTTGATTACTAAAAATATCAATCAGTTATATGTATATTCTTCTGTTTAACATGAAAAAGTAATAATTTTTCCTTCAAGAAATAAAATTTTATAAACAGAGTTAATTTAAATATTATATTCGTTATATTTATATAAGAAAAAATTATATAACAAAATATTTTATACCGTTATTGATCAATTTCTAATTTTCTAAATAAATTTCTAGAACGTTTTATGAGTTTTATTATTAATAACAAGAAAAGGATGCAGTAAAATAATTTCCTTTATCAATTTTATTCTGATTAAATGTAGGCACACTAGTAATACACTATATTATAATACGTTACTTACACTACAATATTATCAAGTATGAATATAACTGGTTACAGTTTGACATTATAGCATAAACTAAAATTGACATCAATCGATCGATTACAAAAAAAGTAAAAAGCATTTATAAACTGTTACTCGAGTTTTTTAATAGAATGTAAAACTCAAGTGAGTAGACATGTTATGGCCATTGTACATTTTTAATGATTCTTCTTTCAAAGTGATCGTCTTTCTCTTAGAGAATATTTCCTACACGAAATAGATATTCTTTATTGCATACAAAATGACTTTGTTGCGTGAAGAAAAAGCAACTATCAGTCTCTACTTAACACTCAGTATGGATACTTCAAACTTATGGGGATATCGAGGTGCTTTATTACAGTTATCGTAATCATAATTGAATTGTTTCATAAAGAAAGAATATTTTAGATTAATATAAACATATATGATTATGCATTCGTTAACATTCATAATTCAAATATGTTCTTATTTTTTCTTCTTGTGTTCTTCTACGACACTCAATATAACTTTCATGCAAAACGTTGCTAAGATGTTGCAATATTCCATGTTGAAATGTGAATGTTTTTTCAACGTTATATCTACATTTATATTATCTATATTTTTTATTTTTAATAATATTTTAATACTACTTTAATCGTAAATATAAAACAATAAATTTTTATCTTATTTTTGATAGTAAATTTTAATGGTAGAGTAATACAACGTAAAACTTTTGTCTCGTTGTTATAATTTATTATTAGATAATAATTAATTATTAGAATTCATAATAATTTACAAAGTACATTAAAAACTGTTCTCTATTCTATATTTATAGCAAATTTCCACAAATTATCAGTTATATAATAGAGCAAATACAAATCTAATAATTAATTGATACTTCTATTAGTGTTTATTGTTTATTCATTTTTCATAATATTTTTTTATTGTAATACTTCTTGAAACAGATAGATTTCGAATGGGCGATCAAGATAAATCGTTTCAGTTTAAAATTAATTGGGCTTTGGCCTAAAACTAAATACGACATTCAAGAAACGTTAACATATAGAATCCGCCCTTTAATTATTGTCCTAATAATAATAATCGGTGTTCTGATTCCTTCAATACATTCATTGATAAGAATTCATTCGAATATTATGCTACTGATTGATAACTTGCAATTTACTCTACCGGCTATTACTTGTGCTGTCAGAATTATAATACTTTGGTGGAAAAAAAGAGGTAAATATAATTTATCTTATATAATTTGTCTTAATTAAAATACTAATAAAATAAAAATTGTATTAGATTATAAATTATTATTGTGTAATCTCCTATTTCAATGAAATATATAATAGATTTTATGATAGAACAATAACTATTTTATAAAATTTGAGAAAAAGAATATTTCTTTTACACGATGTAAATATTACTCAAGAATATTGTTATATAAATAATTTTTTATTCATAAGTAACAAACTTTTGCAAATTTGAACAATTTTGTGACTTTTAAAGCTATTTTATGGATTTTAAACATGATCGCGGAGGATTGGCAAAGACTGAAAAATACATATGAGCGAAGCATGATGATCAAAAGAGCGCAAACTGCACGTATAATTATTATGTGCGCATATAGTGCAATGACAATAGCATTTACCTTCGTTGTCGTTTTACCTATTTGTGGAATCTCAATTAGATATTTGACAAATATCACTGATCCAGGCAAATTGTTGCCATTGCAAACGTATTATCCTTATGACGTGTCAAAGAGACCGCAATACGAATTGACATTCTTTATTCAGAGTATTGCTATTTTCTTTGCTATCTTATCTTATACTGGTATTGATAATTTTCTTGGACTATTGGTATTTCATATTTGCGGTCAATTGGAAATTCTTAGATATCGTATCACGCACTTGGATATCAATTTCCATGACATTTTAAAAAAGAATGTGATAGATCACATCCGACTACTTAGGTATTCGATAAATACCGTATGTTTTATACATACGGACTTTTGCATATTATTTTATCAAATTATTATGTATTAACCCTCAGTATCCACATCTCAAAAAAGTTCCTATCTATCTACATCCGGGTATTTATAACCCAGCATTTTCTTTTGCTTGTATCTCAGATTATAGTGCATCGATTTTAAGTAATTTTTTTTAATCATTTGAAA